ACGATTGATAGTTTTTTTCTCTCTCTCTCTATATATATATCCAAAGGATATACATATATATATATACACTACGATATATATATATATATATCCCCTTTCTTGATGATATATATTGCAACGGCGAAGAAGAATTGCTTTAACGTCGATCATATTTCTTACGCATTTAGCAATAATTAATGGTAACACAAGGTGGTAGTAAAAAGGTAGCGGATGGTAACAGCGGTAGTAGCGACAATAACGCTATAAGATCGTAACGCTAGCGGTAAGTAGTAGTAGTAGTAATAGTAGTAGTAGTAGTAGTAGTAGTAGTAGTAATAGTAGTAGTAGTAGTAGTAGTAGTAGTAGTAGTAGTAGTAGTAGTAGTAAGTTAAGTAATATTAAGTAATTAAGTAGCAAGTAATATTATAATAAGTAATAATAGCGGCGCGGTATACGTATAAATAGGATTTTCTACGTTAGTTTGATTAAAAATAAATGTCATAACGTAATAGGTAACTTTATGCCGGGCCCGTAACGAAGCCACTGCCTGCCGATCGGTCGGTGGATGCGAAACGACGAATCGACTCGCTTATTTCTTTCCACTTTTCTTTCTCGTCCCGGATCGCGCAGCCTAGTCGGCCAGATTCCGGGCCCTATCTCATTCTTCTTCTCCCTTAGCTGTCTAAAATCACATTAACGCAAGAGAATAGTAATGGTAATTGTTCGGACCGTGCAACGGGTCCCACCACGTGACTTGAAAGACACTCACACGTTTCACAATGATACTAAATTCCATGCGATCGAGGATAGGTCGCAAGAGGAAGGGAAGCCAGGGAGCACCTATTAGCCTCGGATCGATGAAGCTGGCAAGCCGAAGGATACGAGTTACGAATGAATACGAGTTACGGAGAATCGGGAGGAGGGAAGGAAGGGAGGGAGGGAGGGAGGGAGATAGGAGAGAGAACGCGGAAATTCTAAGTGAGAATTTTTTTTTTTTTTCTTTTCCTTTTTCTTCTTCTTCTTCTTCTTCTTTTTTTTTTTTTTTTTTAGTCATCATCGTTACGTTCGAGTGTGATCGCAGTCACGACTACGCGTGAATCTTCTAAACTGTCAACACGGAAGAGCGAAATTGATTTACACGAAGGGGTGCGGAGGAGGGACTAAGGATCGGAGGAATATCAATTAACAAATGTAATTCGATGATATATCTATATCTTGTCACTCCGCTCTTCCGTCGTTGCTCTGATATGTTGCGAATCGTCAATGCACCTCTCTCTTCCTTCTCTTCCACGATATATAATAAAGTAAGTGAGTAAGTGTAAGTGTAACACGATTTGTCCTGCGCTTGAAAGAAGAGAAATTAATCCCGATCGAGCGGATCCTCGAGGTGGACGTGCGTTGCGGCACGAGCGATGAAAGAACGTAGTTCTTTTTTTCTTTTTTTTTTCTTTTTTTTTTTTTGTTCGTTGATGTAGCGACTTATACAAAGTAGGTAGAAAAGTGATAAAAATTCATGTGTACGATATAATGTACGTATAATGTACGTGTATAACGGTGTGATGGTATATCGTATATCGTTATTTTTTCCTCTTTCTTTCTTTCTTTCTTTCCTTTCTTTCCTTTCGTTCCTTTTGTGCATGTTTGCGAGAAATGTAGCGTAGCACTTAATATTACCAGTCGGCGAGAACCACCTCGTGATTAATCATCCTGGTGTCGTATATATATATATATATATAGGACGCCTCGTGGAACGCATAACGAAACACGTTACGCGTTCCACGTTTCGTTTCTCTTCACGAAATAGGGGAAATCCCTACGTTTTGTTTCAAGGTTTTGCCGCAGGTTTCTCCCCGAAGAAGAAGAAGCCTCTCCCCCCCCCTCCCCCCTCCCCCCGAGAATCCGCCGGGTTCCACCTTCGATCGCCCGGGCGCCGATAGACAGCATTCGAGACAGCAAGAATAATTATTACACATCGTACACACACTGTTAAAATAGTAATATAGCGGTAGTAATAATAATAGTAACAATAGTAACAGTTGTCAGGTCGGGCAGTCACATCTGCCCGCTGACACATCACGAAGACACGCGCCCCGTTCATCCACCCGTCTCTCATCCATACACGCACAGGGAACTTTGTCTTAAATTTAGCGACAAACCACGAGTCTTCCGGCTCGTCCATTCGCGCGTGCATCCACACTCCAACGTCCACTTGCGGCACTTGCACACACGCATCTATATATTTCGCTAAAACATCCAGACGCGGAGACGTCAGCCTCGAGAGAAACGCACAGACTTCGACATTCGAGTTCATCCGCTCTCTCTCTCTCTCTCTCTCTCTCTC